GCCCCCCAAGCCCCCCCAGCTCCACCCCCACAGTGTCCCCCCATCCCCTTGGTGTCCCCCTGTTCAATCCCTCCTTTGTTCCCTCCCCATCCCCTTGGTGTCACCCCCTCCCCAGTGTCCCCCCGTGTCCCCACATGTCCCCGTGTCCCCTCACCCACGAACACGTGCTCGAAGCCGCAGGAATCCAGAGCTTTGCCACCGGAGCGCGAGTAGAGCCCGAACCACATGGAGTGGAGATCGGCACGGAAGGCCTCGGCCGAGGGGTACAGCCCTGGGGACACGTGGGGACATCGTGGGGACACGTGGGGACAGCATGGGGACACATGGGGACAGCAGGAGAACACCATGGGGACATGGGGTACAGCCCTGGGGACACATGGGGCACAGCCCTGGGGACACGTAGGGACATTGTGGGGACACCATGGAGACATGGGGCACAGCCCTGGGAACAGGGTAGGGAATGTGAACAGGGGGGTTCAGCCCTAAGAACAGGGCAGGGGGACAGGAGGGACACTATAGGGACACTGAGGGGACACTGAGGAGACACCACTGAGGAGACACTGTGGGAACACTGTAGGGACGATGCAGGGACAGTGTGAGGGCAGGGGGTTCACCATGAGGACACTGTGGGACAGACATGGTGGGGACAGGGGGAATACCGTGGGGACGTAATGGAGACATCATGGGGACACTGTGGGGACAGAGGGAACACCATGGGGATATCATGGGGACACCATGGGGACAATGGGAACACCAGGGGGATACCGTGGGGGCAGAGGGATCAACATGGGGACATCATGGGGATAGGGGGGACACCGTGGGGACGTCGTGGGGATAGGGGGGACACTGGAGGGACAGGGGAACACCATGGGGACACCATGAGGACACCGTGGGGACAGGGGGAACACTGGAGGGACACTGCAGGGACAGGGGGAACATCATGGGGACATCATGGGGATGTGTGGGGACACCATGAGGACACCGTGGGGACAGGGGGAACACTGGAGGGACACTGCAGGGACAGGAACATCATCGGGACATCATGGGGACATCATGGGGACACTGTAGGGACAGGGGGAACACCATGGGGATAGGGGGAACAGCGTGGGGACACCGTGGGGACAGGGGGGACACCATGGGGATATCATGGGGATACCGTGGGCACACCGTGGGGACAGAGAGAACAGTGTGGGGACACCATGGGGACACTGTGGGTACAGGGGGAACACTGGAGGGACACTGCAGGGACAGGGGGAACATCATGGGGTCATCATGGGGACACGGTGGGAACAGAGGGAACACCATGGGGATATCATGGGGACACCGTGGGGACAGGGGGGACGCCATGGGGACACCATAGGGACAGTGGGAACACCACGGGGATACCGTGGGTACAGGGGGGACGCCATGGGGACACTGTGGGTACAGGGGGAACACTGGAGGGACACTGCAGGGACAGGGGGAACACCATGGGGACATCATGGGGACACCGTGGGGACAGGGGGCACAGCACGAGGGCAGCGCGGCCGCACCCTTGGCGAGCACGAAGCGCTCGAGCAGCGCCAGCACCGGCGTGGCCAGCGCGGCCTCCAGGAAGCGCCGCTGCTCCCGCAGCTCCGCCGGCGGCTCCGCCTCCGCCCGGCCCGGCCGCGGCTCGTAATTGTCCAGGAGGGCGAGGAGCCCCGAGAACGTGGGAACGGCCAGCAGCTCCGGGGACACGCGAGAAAACAGCCTGGGAGTGAGCGGGGCGGGCGTGGGATTGGGATTGGGGTTGGGAATGGGATTGGGATTGGGGTTGGGGTTGGGATTGGGGGGATTTGGAATGGGATTGGGATTGGGGTGGGATTGGGATTAGGATTGGGGTGGGATTGGGATTGGGATGAGATTGGGATTGCGGTGGGATTGGGGTGGGATTGGGAATGGCATTGGGATTGGGAATTCACTAGTCATGTCTGCTTTTCTTTAGGCTCAATGTTCAGACCACTTTAAAGATAAAAGATCACAGAGGATAAGGAGCAACACCTGACAGGTAAGACAAGACTCATTCTGGAACAGATCTGCTGTCCCCAAAGAGGCACAACCTCCAAAGGCTGGGAGGGCTCTGCCTGAGCAGACAGCCAGACCAGCTGATATCATTTCTTCAATGGATAAACCCCAGATCCTCCTGGGAATGATAAACTGCTGAAGGTCTGGCATTCTTGTCAAACACCCCAAAATGAATCCAAACATTAATTGCAGAGAACCACGTGAGTAACAGTTTTGTTAGTGAAGGTACAAAAATCTAGAGAACTGGGAAGATGATGTGACAAAATTAATAAGCTGCTTAAGCTCAGCTGAAGAACAAAAGGCCAAAAGAGTGAAAATTTTTATCTTCATTCAGATATGCAAACAATTTAACACTGAAAATGTTTAAAGAAATGCCTGCTCAAATAAAAAAAACCAACCCTCTTTTTTTTCCAGTCTCTGCTAAGACTCAGTCACACTTCCCTTCATGCAAGAAGCCCCTTGAATTACAGAGCACGTTGCAAGGGCATGGAAAGCAAGTCTGGTTTAATTGCAAGTATTTGCATAACCTGGTGCAACAAACAAACAAAAAGAAGATCATTTGAAAAGGCAACCAAACTTTGAAAACAAGAAACTGAGTTAGGAAACCAATTTAAAAAAAAAAAACAACCTCCATCCATGAATGCTACGACAGCTACCTGACAGCCACAGCTTCTTCCTTTGAAATACACAGTGGATACTCACAGCCATTCACTCCAGAGCCCTTACAACAACAACAACAACAAAACCAAACAAACAGTGGGTTTCAGTTGAATCAGATGCATTTTCAAAAGTGCAAATTTCAAAAGCAACACCAGTCATAAAACATAAGCTCAAGCATCTCTCCTTCCAAAAGCTGGGAACTTTTTGTGCAATGTGCACATTTTAAGACACCGTGAGTGTAATCACAACTACTCTCTCCAACCTGAAGTTTCTTCTTGAGGCAGCTCAAAAAAGTTTGAGCCAGCACTCTTCAGGCAGAAAAGCCATTCCTGAAACATGTTGATCTGCACAGCCAACACGTGGAGAAAACACAAGTATAATAAACCATTCAAGTGTAGAAATTAATCTCTTCTCAAATGATGATTTGGTTGTGCTCCCAACATACAGAAAGAAAGCAACTGACACACATTAGTGGTGGCAAAACTGGAAACTTCTCTTCCCCATGACAATAATTTGTTTCCATTTATGCACTTTTCCTTCTCTTGCCTTCCCTGTTTTGCCAGTAAAATGCAATAAAACTGCAGGAAAAAGGAGGTAGCAATATCATGTTGTCCAAAGACAACACTATAAATTGTTTTTCCCCGTTACCTTAAACCTAACGAGAGCCTCGGGGGGTGTTAGAACAGTTGGTAAACTCTACACTACTCTGTTTAGCTCTTATTTGGATGTTTAATTTAGCTCTTATTTGGTCCTAGTTGGCTTTTCTCAAACCATTGGATTTAAAGGCCAGTGGCAGTCTCAGATGTCCAACATCAGAAACGTTTCGAGCATGTAGTGAGAAAACAGAACAAAACAATACTACTGGATATTAACTGCTTAAACCAGGGGCTCTTTTTGTGCTTTCAGCTCACAGGGGACAACGACAACCACAAGCTGTTCTCTGTCTCAGTCAGGGCCTGCCCAGGGGCACATCCCAGGGTTTCTCCCCCTGTCCCCACCTGTCGCTGCCCGAGCCCTGCAGGTTCAGTTCCAGCTGGCCCGGCCTGGCCCGGTTCGAGTCCGCGGCGAGCAGCTGCTCCGAGAGCTCCCGGAGCTCCGCGTCCGACACGTTGGGATTGGGGTTGGGATGGAGGGCAGGGGTGGCGACAGCTGGGATCGAGGGGTGAGGACAGAGCCAGGGGGGTTTGGGACAAGGGACAGAACGGAGCCGGGTGGGATGGGGACAGCCGGAGGGGCAGAGGGGAGGGGCGTGAGGGGGAACACGGGGGCGCTGAGACCGGGGCTCCGGCACCTCCCGGGGCCCAGGGGGGACGCCCCCGGTACCGGTACCGGTGCCGGTGACCAGCAGCAGCCACAGCAGCCACGGAGCCATCGCGGCGCCCCCCGGGCCCGCTGTCGCTTATAGCCGCCCCTATCGCTGTCGCGATAACGCGCCAAGGTCGCGACGTGACCTGGACAGACCCCGGGGGGGGCCACCCGACGCCCCCCCGGGGGGGCTGCACCCCCAATTCCCCCCGTTTGGGACCCCCAGGGGCCGTTTGGGGACTCGCCCCCCTAAAATTTGACCCCTCCCGTGGTTTGGGGACCCCCAAATCCGGCTCCCCACGGGGGTGGGGACCCCCAAACCCGCCCCCCCCGCCCCCCCCGGGGCTGTTTAATGTTTAAGGGACCAAATGTGGCCCCTCAAGGACTGGGGCTCTGGTGTTCGGGGGGGTTGGGGGAGGGGCGAGGTTTAGGGGGCGGGGCATAGGACAGAAATAGTCCCGCCCCTTCCAGTTGGCACCGCCCTGCCTGAGGGACACCGCGCGCATGCGCAGTACGGAGACAGCGTGTGATGATATGGGCGTGGCCATATCCATATACGGATCAGGGGCGGAGCCTAAAGGGGAGCAGAGGGCGGGGCCCAAGGGCGTGGTTATGGGGCTACAGGGCGGGGCGGGAGATCCTGCGCAGGCGCAGTGCGGGCGGGCGCGCGGGGCGCGGGGCCGCGGTTTAAAGGGGCCGCGGCGCGGGGAGCCCGGAACCCCCCGGGACCCCCGGGACCTTCCGGGACCCCCGAGCCCCCCGGCATCCCTCGGCACGCCCCGGGACCCCCGGGAACCCCCCGAGCCCGCCATGGTCTGCGGAGGCTTCGCCTGTTCGCGCAACGCGCTCTGCGCCCTCAACGTGGTTTATGTGGTGAGCGGGGGGGGGCCGTGAGGGGAATGGGGACCCCTCAGGGCTGGGGGGGCCGTGAGGGGATTGGGGACCCCTCAGGTCTGGGGGGGCCGTGAGGGGATTGGGGACCCCTCAGGTCTGGGGGGGCCGTGAGGGGAATGGGGACCCCTCAGGGCTGGGGGGGCCGTGAGGGGATTTGGGGCACGCAGTCCCGATTCAGGGGCACAGTCCCGGTTCGGGGGGCACAGTCTCAGTTTGAGGGGCACAGTCCCGGTTCGCGGGGGCACAGTCCCGGTTCGAGGGGCTCAGTCCCGGTCCCGGGGGTGTCGGTGCCCCCTGACCCGTGCCCCCTGCCCGGTGCCCCCAGCTGGTGGGGGTGCTGCTGGTGGCCGTGGCGGGCTGGGCGCGGGGCCTGGCCGGGGGCTCCAGCCCCCCCCTGCTCGGAGGAGCCTTCGCCGTCGGAGTCTTCCTCCTGCTGATCGCGGGGCTGGGGCTGCTCGGGGCCCTGCGGCACCACCAGGTCCTGCTCTTCTTCGTATCCTTTTTGGGGGGGGGAACCTCCGAGGGACCCCCGGCACCCGCAGCCCCTCTGCGAGCCCCCCGCCCCCCTGGGCACCGGGTCCTGCCCTGCTCTGTCCCCTTGGCCCAAAGCCCCCGTCGGTCCCCAGCACCCCTGGGTGTCCCTGGCACCCCTGGCAGTGTCCCTGGCACCCCTGGCGGTGTCCCCAGCACCCCCTGGATGTCCCCAGTGCCCGCCCTGGATGTCCCTCATGCCCCTGGCAGTGTCCCCAACACCCCCTGGATGTCCCTTGCAGTGTCCCCAAGGCCCTCTGGATGTCCGTGGCAGTGTCCCCAAGCCCCTCTGGGTATACCTGGCAGTGTCTCCAGCACCCCCTCGATGTCCCTGGCACCCCTGGCAGTGTCCCCAGTGCCTCCCTCGATGTCCCTGGCACCCTTGGCAGTGTCCCCAACTTCTTCTGGATGTCTCCAGTACCCCTCTGGATGTCCCTGGCACCCCTGGCAGTGTCCCCAACACCGCCTGGGTGTCCCTCGCATTGTCCCCAAGCCCCTCTGGATGTTCCTGGCAGTGTCCCCCATGCCCCTCTGGATGGCCCTGGCACCCCTGGCAGTGTCCCCAACAGGGCTGGAGGGGACCCCGGGGATGGGGCGGAAGTGGAGTTTGGGGACCCCCTGGATGTGCTGAGCCCCCCCAGGAGGGGCCTGCTCTGCCCCCCCACCCCCACTGTGGGGTGTGAGGACCCCCGGGGGTGGGGGGGGAGTCGGGGACCCCCCTGACCGTCCCGTTTGCCCCCAGAGGTGCCAGTTCCCCCCGGGGGGAGCCCCCCCGTGCCCCCCCTGCGCCCCCCAACTGCTGCAGCACTCGGACCAGGCCCTCAAGATTCTGGGGGGGGTGCACAGGCACCCCCACACTGGGGAGGGGCACACGGGGCAGGACCCCCCCACAGCGACCCCCCCTCCTCCCAAACTGGGAGCTGCCCCTCCCCCATCCACTCCCCCCTTGGGGGCTGGGGGTGGGCTGGGGGGGGGTCACAACCTCCCCAAATCCAGCAGGGCCCCCCCATCCCAGCACCCCCCAACTGGTCTGTACTGGTTTATACCATGACTGGCACCTGTGACCCCCCCAGTGTGTGCCCCCCCCAGACCCAGTGTGGGGGGAGCAGGGGGACACTCCCCCCCCCGCTGTCACCACGGGGGTGTCACCGTGTCCCCTCCCAATAAACACACGACACTGACCTCGGCTCGGGCTCATTCTGGGGTGCCCCCCCCTGGAGCAGTGACCCCCCCGGTGACACAGGACATGCAGTGGGGGGGGCACTGCCCCCACCCCTTTATTGGCAGGAAAATGGGGAACCCCAAAAACTGTCCCCCCCCCCAAATCCAGTCCTGGTATCCCTGGAGGGGGGCCTCGGCTCGGGCTCATTCTGGGGTGCCCCCCCCTGGAGCAGTGACCCCCCCGGTGACACAGGACATGCAGTGGGGGGGGCACTGCCCCCACCCCTTTATTGGCAGGAAAATGGGGAACCCCAAAAACTGCCCCCCTTCCCCCAAATCCAGCCCTGGTGTCCCTGGGGGGGGTTCAGGGTGTTTGAGGGGGGGGAACACCCCTCAGTGCCCCCCTCAAGCACCAGTGGGAGGGGTCCGGGGGGGATTTTGGGGGGTGTCACCCCACAATTGCACCGCACAGGTGGGAGAGTCCTGGGGATGTTTGGGAGGGATTTTTTGGGGGGGGGTCACCCCTCACGCCCCCCCCCCGCAGGTGGGGCTGAAGGCCAGCAGGGACATGACAGGGACATGGGGGGTGGCACTGCTGTGACCCCTCCCCAGCGGGGTGCAGGGCTCGGGGGGCGATGGGGAGCTGCCATCCTGTGCCCCCCGGGTGTCCCCGAGGGCCACACTCACACAGAGCGTCCCTGTGCCCCCAGAGTGCCCCCAGAGTGTCCCCAGTGCCAACCTGTGTGTGCCCCCAGAGTGTCCCCAGTGCCAACCTGTGTGTGCCCCCAGAGTGTCCCCAGTGCCAACCTGTGTGTGCCCCCAGAGTGTCCCACCAAAGTGTCCCCAGTGCCAACCCGTGTGTACCCACCATTGTCCTCTCCCCTGGTGCCCCCGTGGGTCCCCCACTTGTCCCCCTGAGTGTCCCCAGTGCCAGCCCATGTGTGCCCTCCCCTGATGCCCCCACATGTCCCCAAGTGTCCCCTGTGCCCCTTTATTGGCCCGCACCTGTGTCCCCTCCCCTGGTGCCCCCGTGGGTCCCCCACTTGTCCCCCTGAGTGTCCCCAGTGCCAGCCCATGTGTGCCCTCCCCTGATGCCCCCACATGTCCCCTGTGCCAGCCCGTGTGCCCGCACCTGTGTCCCCTCCCCTGGTGACCCCATCCCTGTTCTGGTACCCCAAAACTGTTCCAGGACCCTCATCAGCCCCCCCGGCACCCCCATCCCTCCCCTGGCACCCTGTCCCTGCCCTGGGACCCCAAAACTGTTCCAGGACCCCCATCCCTGCCCTGGCACCCCGTCCCAGGTGCCCCAGGGCACCCCGCTGTCACCAGCCGATGTTGGGGTGCCCGAGGTGCCCGAGCAGAGCCGCCTCCCGCAGGTGCTGGGGGGCACCCCGGGCCCCCCCGTGGGCACCCCGGCCCCCCACGGCGAGTGGCAGCACCCGGGGGGCCCGAACCCCGCGGGGAGAGCCTGGCACCCCCCAGCTCCAGTGCCCCCCCCCGCGCTCCCCAACCACGCCCCTCCCCTTCCAGCACCGCCCCGGGCGCTGCCCCTGCCCCCGCGGGGGTCTTTGCGGCCCTGCCAAAATTTGGGGGTCCCGGGGAGGTCCCGGAACTCACCGGGCGGGGCAGGGCGGGAGGGGCGAGGGGACCCCCGGGAACCCCCGGGAGGGGGAGGGGCAGGAGGAGGGGGGAGGGAGAGAGGACCCCCCCTCA